TGAAGGGGTAGAGATCCTGACTTCATCTTTATCAATTCCATAGCAGATGACATGGTCTCTTGCTCTCTGATCACCGTTGTTGTATCAAGCAGATATGTTAGGACTTACCGAGACTAACATCATGTGCTTCTTCTCCTTGCCTCTGGAAACAGGAATGGACAATAGCAGGCTTTGTGTGTTTCTGTTAGTCTCTGTTCTCCTTCCACATCTGCCGGTCATACAGTAAACCTCGTGTCTCCATCCACAGCCTGGAAATTAAGACGCTGGTTACTTGGGATTAACCTTTACTTATCCAAACACAGCTCACTGAGGATGCACACACTTTTCCCTGCAACTCTCTGCTTCACATTTACACTGAACTTTTACCACGGTCTTCTTTAGAGGCTTTAAGGCTCATGTATACTTATGTGTGAGCCATATTGGAGGTCACCTTTTTTTTTTATCAACAAAACAGGTTATTAATAATAAAAACATTGTCATATATTAAGAGCGGGTGGTATGGACATACTGTATATACCAGGGTTTCCCACACATAGACTTTACTTGGGTGGGCCGCCCAGGTATATTAACGGCCGCCCAAGTATATTTCGCGACCCATTTAGTTTTTTTTTTTAGTTTTTTTATTCGTCCGCGACTACGACGCCATCTGCGATCGATTAACTTGTGGACAATGATCCCTCGCTCTACGCCTCCTGTACACAGTCCCGGACTGGCCATCGGGAGGACCGGGGGGTTTCCCGATGGCCAGGCCTGTTAAGTGGCCTGCCTCACACAGGGTGACTGGCTGTCTACATGATGTGGCCTGCCGACATGGCCACTGTCATACAGATCATAAATCAAAGCCCTTGATTGGTGTGTCATTCAGCTCAGGTGAGGTAAAGGACTCTCTGAGTGTTTAGATAGTTAACGTCTAAGTTCTCAGTGAGTCTCAAACGGTTTGGTCACCATTTATGTAAACACATATTTCCATTTGAGGGGGGAGTGATTAGTAAAATATGCATGAATAAAAAAAAAAAAGTTAACTAGGTGAAAAAAGGTAAGATACACTTTTACAACTTGTTAAAACTTGCTAAAACTAGTCTTTGCTGCTGCCTCAAAGAGGAGAAGGGAGGAGGGAGACAGGAGAGGCTGATGCAGGAGCACAGACACACTCACAATGAACCAAAAATAAATAAATAAACAAGTTTCAGTGTTTCGTCATATTGTATATGGCCATGATTTTATGATTATTGAAATGTATACAGTTCTGTTTCATATAGGTGTTCCCATAGATCTAGTCTCTTTATTTTCCCCTCAAAATGCACCAGATTGATGCATTTAACTCCAAAATAAAAAATCTTACCGGGGGAGCATGCCCCCGGACACCCCTAGAGGATTTGAGGTCCACCCCCACTTAAAATCACATGGATAGGTTCCTAAATACATTTACGATTTTTTTTAAATAGTAACCCATGTCCATTATATTCATTTGTGGGTAGTATATTTAAACTATAGGGCTATCACTATGGGCCCTGCCAGTACCTGTTCGCTCTGCCATCGCGTGAAGGGTCTGCTAACACCCCCCCCCCCCGCTACCACCACCCCCCTAAGTATATTTCAGATCTGTGGGAAACACTGTAAACCATAAAATGATAGACATGTGCTTTCCAGACATCTACCCATTTAGTGTAATGCATTCGTTAGAAGAAGTGAGTATGAAACCAAATACATCTGACTTAAATTGGACTGCATGAATTGTGTGAGAATTAAATGGATTTTAATTATATTTTTGCTGTTGTTGAATGCTGCCCCAATTTACTTGAATTCATAAATACTTTTCTCAGTTTTTAAAATCTTGGTTTACTGTGGAAGTATGCAAGAAAAACCTTCAAGAACCCTATGTAACATGGGTTGAGTAATTGATGCATAAATGGTCATTCTGTGGGTGAATTAATCCTTTAACATGTGTCACTATAATGTTGTGGTGGGCATTGCAGCCAATTTGAATGGTTATGGAACTTATTTATGGTAGTATTTTGGTTTTCAAAAGTAAAGCATCATAGTACCAAACAACCTTGATTTGTCACGTTTGGGGATAGACTTTCTCATGTGATTAAAGCAGCATGTGGCATGATTTAAGGGCGAATAATTCATTGCTGTATGCCACAATGTCTTTTTTGATACCACCACTTTAGGGACATCAAAGACAGCCAGTCAGCAGTACCTCAACAGTATCAATGCACACTTGAGTGTTCACAGTGGAGCCAATGTACTGCACTATAAATGAAGTGTCATCCGTGAGTGAACCACACTATCTTTTTCCAAAATGGCCTGGCGATTCAAACTAGTTCTTTACTATCGTCCAAGCAACCACTGTTCCCTTGAATACCAGTGTTTATTCAAGCATGCACTTTTTCTGTCATGCTTTATGCATTATATAAAGTAAAACTGTCTTAAATAACAGTGCATTAACTCTTTACTGTATGTGTTACTTTAAAACTTGCTACATCTGAGGATTTGTTTCCATGGAAGTCAGAGTTCAGAAATAGCTTTTTTTTTTTTTAGTGTCGACACAGACCTTTTTTTTTTTACTTGAAACACATGGAAAAGGCACTGCTCTAAGAAGACTTAAAAAAAGAAAATGTTCCTTGTTTAGACATGCTCAACTGCTCTGCTAGATTACAGCATGTTTCAGATGTGGTGTAGCATATCCAGACCCTCTCTGAGGAGCTGAGGGGTTACAGAGCTGCGATCCAGGCTGCCTGCACAGCTCTGGGCCTTTTTCCCAGGCCTCGAGCCCCAGAAATAGTCTGCCCTGCTCTCCTGCAGTGAACCAAAGTTTCCCACTCTTCCACAGAACTAGGGTCCCAGCTGAGTTAAACATGCACTGATAACCAACAGAGGGCCCTATGTTTTCTCTAAGTAATGTCCCTTTTATCATCTTAGTGAAATCATTTAAGTTTAACAAAGACATTGATATTTTTAATATAGCAGATAAAGCAGTAACAAAACAAATGCTACGCTAGAATGTAGTTCTGAAGAAACAGTGGATGTGTTGATGCCTGTTATACATTCCTACACCATTTAAATACACTTGCATTTCTCACCTTGTATTCTGTATGCATGGTCAGTGAATTTGAGAAGCAGTGATGTATTTGCATTGAGTCTGACGTTATTTAAATTCTCTATGAAGAAGCTAATTGAAGATAAGAGCTGGCTTTGAAACGCACGCATGGAAGGATATTAATGGATCTGAATTTGTAATGCTAACAAAGACTTTCACATCTTCATATAGCTCTGGCACTTTTGCAAGTATGATCATTTCTAAAATCATAAAAATATCTAAAATGTCATCTTGGCTAGGGCTGCTCAATTAATCGTATTTTAATCGCAATTACAATTTTGGCTTGCAACGATTATGAAAACAACATAATCGAAATAAAACGATTAATTTTATTTATTTTTAAATATGTTCTTTTATTGGTTTTTCAGTTGAATTATACTTAAAATTCAAGGTAATCAACTGTTAAAAATATACTGTTCACATTTTCTTTTTCAATAAATGGATGTTTTCAAAGTAAATGGATAATCGTTTTTAATAATCGTGATATCAATTATTCACCCAAATAATCGAGATTATGATTTTTGCCATAATCGAGCAGCCCTAATCTTGGCTAGAGGTCAGAGCTAGAGGTCACTCAACATATACTTCTAAATACTGTTTAACCTATGTCAGGAATAGAAGTAGTTAACTTATGAAGAAAGAAAGCAATGATGTATGTTAGAGGGAGGTGTTAGACATTGCTCTTGTCTGTCTTTTAAATAACGTTTCAGAAAATGTGAAACCTTCATTTGCCTGCACGGTTGTGACTATACTGTAGGTATTTTGCTCTGTAGGAGGCATTTGTTTTTAGACGAAAGGAAAGAGTTAAACAATAAGAGGTTACAAAATAATGGTGTGGAGGGTGGGTGGTCCCTGGTGATTACTATTTATCACGGATGAGAAAGGAGAACTCAGGAAAAGGGTTGGGATGTGGATTAGGACTGAGAGGCACTGCAGGGCTGATGCTGTAATACATTTGGGTGGAGGTAGCATGGTGGTGAGGTCATGTTGAGAACAAGGGGAGAAAAGGAAAATAAAGCCTTGCGATTAAAATATGGAATGCCTGTATCTGGGAATCTTGGGAGATTCATGTTTCCATGGGCAACAGTGCAGAGAGGGAGGAGTGCACACCCAGGAAATGTGACAGAATTACCAGCTGTGAGGAGACGCACAAGCTTTTTAGTGGTCAATAAAAGTAGAATGGAAATGAAATGCAGCATTAAATCCAGAAAGGGAAAGGGTGGAGCACCATACGCAGTGACTGTATATACTACTCATTAAATAGCAGCGACATGATGCAAGATAATTTGCACAGTCCAAACACTTGGCAAAAATGTGGCGAGAACTGGAAAAAACAGAATTACTTATCACTAAGGCCACAGATATGTGAAGTGGGTGAATAGTCATTAAAGGGCAGCACGGAGGGGGGGAGTTTGGCAATCAGCTTGGGAATAGTGGGAGAGACCAAAGTAAAGGGGCCAAGAAGTGATAACAGTGTGAGGCTTCGGGTACAGGACCCTCCTGTCACAGGCTGCAGGGTGATGTTGAACAGCTGTGCAGAGAGGGGCTCACTTCCTGTTTCCAAACCCAAAACAAACACTCTTAAGCAGAAGACATGAGTTCCTCCAAGGACAGCATTGAACCAAAGTTGTTTTTTGTTGGTTCCATTTTCCTCTGCCTCTCTGCTATGTTTCTCAACCCGTCTGCTTTTTCCTTTTAAAAAGAGGAATGTAAAAACGTGTTTATCTTAAAACATCTTATATGGCTTCAAAATCTGCAAGTTTAATGTCAATGTATTGTCATAAAATGCACTTCCCCTAAGTACCATAATTCAGTTTTTTTTCCAATAAGATTCTCCAGTTTTAAATGTGCAAAGCAACATAATATGTTTGATAAAAATGATTTTCTTTTCCAAAAGGATTCTCCATCCAAGCCCTCTGTGGCTGAGCTGGCTGGAAGGTTCAAAGGTCACATTTTACCAATGCCCGGCTCAAAGGGGGAGGTAACTTTTGTATACATACTTATAGATTAATTAGTGAAGACATAATGGACTGATTGTGATATTATATTGTATTTACATCCCTTCTGCTTCCTGTTTGCAGTTGCGATTTCGAAGAACGCCACCTTGCTTGCTAAAGCTGCAAAAACAAAAGGATGACAATGAAGAATCAGATGTAAGTAATTTTCCTCCTTTTCTGACACATAAGCTACAAATTGGTCTTCTGTATACACAAAGGCAGGGTCCAGGAAACAGGCTTGGATCTGTTTATTGTTTTTCATTGTGATTATATTTCAACAGTAGACAGTGTATTGTTTGTTTACATTACATTGTTACTTGTGTTAGACGCTTTCACCCAAAACGATTCACTCAATACTGTGGGCAATCCCCATTGGATCAATTTGGGTTGAAGTGTCTTGCCCAAGGACACAGTGACATGCAGTGGCTGTCAAGGTGGAATTGAACCGGTGCTCCCCTGATCAGAGTCAGAGCCTCAGTGGGTTAGTGCTGCTCTTGTTCAAACTACAACAACTTATCTTTCTTTCACACAAACCAGAGCTCAAGACACGGTAGTAGTGCAACAATATATACATAACAAGCATGTACTGTAATAGTTGATTAATTAAAGGTGGGGTAGGTCATTTTGGAGAAACCAGCTCGAGTGCGCTAGAATTTGAAAATACACAACCGGAGAAAATCTGCCACTTCCTTACAGAGCCCCTCCTCCAACACACACGAACGCGCACATGACCAATGAGGGCACGAGATAAGTTTGTGCACAGATGGAAGGCTGACAGGCAGGTAGGCCATCCAGTTATTTTAGCCGGGCCGGCTAAAATGATTGGTCGTACTTTTTACAGTATTACGGCTTCCACAGATGGATTTTTTGTCAAAGCACTTAAGATATTCATTGCTATCGGGATGTTAAGAGCATTCCATGGAATATAACAAAAAGTGTATCTCGAGCCGGTTTCTCAAACTTACCTACCCCCCCCTTTAATTTAATCTATAATATTCAGACTTAATGTGGTAAATGCGCTTGCAAGTCAGGATGAGCTTTCCTTGTTTAAAAGGGGGGTTCTGATGTTTTTGTGATTTTTGTCTTCAAGGTTCAAGGTTCTTTATTGTCAAACTGACATAGCTACAGAGTAATTATGTTGTTGAAAATCTTATGTCACAGGCTTCTCCAACAATGCAACATAATAACAATACAGATAGCAAGAGCAATACAAAAAGAAAAATAGTTATAAAATAAAGTGAGCATGTGGAATAGTGCAGTACGAGTCTATATACAAGTTATTGGAATGATATATATTAGATACATATTACTGATGTATATCATTCCAATAACTTGTATATAGACTCGTACTGCACTATTCCACATGCTCACTTTATTTTATAACTATTTTTCTTTTCATTATTTCTGTCCGACTGTGGTTTATTGCAGAAAGCTGTCATCTCACCAAATCCCTTTAATGTCAAGACCAAGAACTCCTCCATTATTGAGAAACTTCAGGTAGGTGCATCTTACATTTAAATATTTTGCGAGAGAAATAGGACCCAAACAGTTTCTCACCAATACTCAGTCTTACTTGTTATTATAGGATGTAATATACAGGCAGAAGTAGGCATAATCAGGACATGTTGATAATGTAAAGCATTACTGCCCCCCACTGTTCAGTTGACACTGGTGCCTGAGCTCATCGCATGCTGAGAAAAAGGGGAAGGGTTTGTCCTGGATGCCACAATCGGCTCAGATAAATGAGCTAATGGGATCACAGGCCACACAGCCTCTAGTGAGGCTCCAACTTCTCTTTCCTTTTCCACCACCATCGTTCCATTAGTTAGCAATTCACACGGTGGGCAGCCATGGGACAAAAGGGCTGCCGCTTCTCCCTCTTCCTCTTCTCCCCAGTGGAGGTAGGATACTCTAATCTAAACTTAAACAATGTTTTGGAGACTAATTTGAGCTCTTATGTACTTTAGTTCTTAGTGTGAATATGACAGGTGTTGTTTGTAACACCTAAAAGAGAATTACAGGCTGTATGTAGAGCAGGTGAGTTTACAAAATAGGATGGTGACGGGTGCAAGCTGAGCAAAGTCCTATTTGCACATCCGTTTACTAGTTTTTTTTTACAAAAGCTAGACATTTTAAGGTGTAATTCATCTCTGTATTAATATATTTTAATAATATATCCATGTTTGAATTAACATGGCATGGATTAATCTTCCCTTTACTTATTTGTTATATTTCAAAATAGAATGACTATATTGTAGAATGTATGGCTCGCTCTCTAAAAACATGTGACTTTGAAATGTGATGTTTAAATACATTTACATTACACTGTTTTACAATTTAGTCTTATTAAAAACAATGTTCTAAAGAGAGTATAGTGTCCATGCTTCAGGATCTTCTTTTTCTCGTAGGCAAATCTTGCCCTGTCGCCCACTGCTCTGCTGCCTTCACCCAAGAGTCCTGAGGTGAGGCTCCAGCCCACCCCGTTGTCCCCTGTTGTCCCCTACAGCCCGCTGACCTCACATCTGTACAGTGAAGAGGAGGATCCCATCAGCTTCGACAGCCCTCCTGAAGGCATCCCGCTGCCCAACTTCAACAAGGTAAACAGGATAAATAGATCTGAGCTATCTGTTACAACGTTTCCTAATAATGCACTTGAATTGTTGTGATATGTGTCATGTTGAAGAGCACCATATATCATCTTTTCTAAGCTTTGTTTTGAGTTGGTAGTAGTCTAATATGTCATATTTGCATATTTTTTTTGGTGCAAATTTAAACTCCTGGGCCATTAAATGAAAAACACAAGCTGCTGCCATATTTAGGCCCCTTATGTGCTTCTCACGCTATCCACCGACAGAGTTGTGTCGTCACAACCGGACACATGATCCCATTCCTCGTTGACGTATTTCTCAGCGTGTGCTCTGCATCTTGTCTTCAAGCAGTCCTTGGATAAGCCGGACCAAGATGCCCCTGTAGTGCATGAGTGCTGCTGCGAGGGGGATTGAAGATGTAATCCCCTTAGCCTAGTTAGAGTCCCTAGGTACCATTTTGTGCGGCGCTCTCACGCATATGCTGCCACTGACAGAAATAATTTGATGATATAAATACATTGATGTTGAATATAGATTCTTAGCTGTGTCAAAGTTATCAAACGTTTTTGTTATGCTAAACTGTTGTTTCCACACAGACTCGTGCAAGATTATCATTCAAAAGACGCCCACCCACAAGACAGCACAGAAGGTCAACTGGAGAGGAAATAGGAGCCATCGGGGGTGCTCAGTCCCCATGTGAACTCTATGGCCCAAAAGTAAATGGGGACCACGTTGTTGAACATGGACAGCCAGCAAGTCTGAATGAAGCTGAAGAGAAGGACAAGGACTGTGAACAAACAGAGGATGAGGTAGCACAGAGTGACCCAGATTGCATGGGAGATCCAGAGGAAGAGCAGGAAGCAGAACAAACCCAGAACGTGGAGGTCATGGAGGAGGAAGAGCAGCCTTCAGAGCCTAGCACTTCCATGCAGATAGAGGGCGATGTTGAGACCGAGGAGATGGAGGAGATGCCTCAGGAAGAGCACTAAGGAGGCAAAACTTGGTGTCAACTATGAAAAAGAAAATTAACAAATTATGTTTTGCTTTGATTAAGAAATCTCTTAAAATACTCCAAGATCATTTGTTTAAATGTCTTGGTACCTGCTCTTCATAAGTCCCTCTGTCGCCCTCTCCTGACCGTCTCTCAGAACAGGTCTACAAACACTGGAGAGTTATGAGAAGCAGCTATTCCCTGCATTTGGAAATCAGGATCAAGGTTGATGTAGCATCCATTATCACGCAAGAGGGAGGTTGTGTCATATCGAATCAAGTCTTCATGAGAAGATTCCTATTTTTTCGAGAAATTGCTTTTTCTTCTTTGCAAATCAAAGACATTGTTAAGAGTGCACTTACATGTCAGAAGTATCTGTCATGTACAAAGGACTTTGGAAATGCTGAATGCTGATACCCAAAAAGCTAAATATTATTAGACTACATACAAATATAAATATATATATTAGCAGATATATAAAATGTTCTGGTGTCATACCAAATCACTTAAGGTTGAAATTATGTACAATGCTAATAGTTTTCCTTTGATGTATGTGCTTGTCTTTAATTTTGTATTCTACAAAAAATGACAGTACTACTGCGGAGAGGCTTGGGTCCTCTGCAATTGTGCGCAGCAATGTTAAGAAAATAAAACTTCCTTTCTCTGGAAGGATGACATTGCATGTGTTTGGAGAATTATTGGGGTTGAAATAAGTCAAATTCTCATTATTGAAGTGAAAATCTGTCATTTTCATCTCCTGGGAGATTTTATTATTTAAAAAAGTTAAGATTTTATAGTTAATACAGGTTGCTGATGCTGATAGTGGATAGCATTGTTTAAGCTGCTGCACCATATGGAACACCCAAACGTGAATCAACACTTTTGCAGGGCTGTGTCTGAGTGTTAGGACTAGCAGTTTTACACAGCTCTAGATTAACAGCCTTATTGCACCTGTTATGGTTGGACACATAACACCCTGATATATTTATTTGTATTGAAGTCACATCATTATCTGCTGTAGATCTGCCCATTTTCAATCTGAGCCGAGGTCTAATAAAAAGATTAGACTAATCTACTATAGGCAATTACTCATGTGACATGTTTTTGAAGAAATCTCAGTATATCATATATTGCATTTAATCAACATATTAACTAATCTTATTATGACCATATATGCCTTTTTCTGAGGGCATTATTTGTACGTTATAAAAACATGTAAAAAATACGGTTTTTTAACAGTTGTCGCGACCTCTACTGGTGACCATTGAGCATTGCAAACATAGCATAAAATACATGTTTTTACCTCAGAATTGTATTTTTGACATTTAATTTGAATGTAAAGAACTCATGTAAAAAAAAATACCGTTCATTTATCCAGAAGCCCTTGTTCTTTAAAAAAAACATGTTTACTGTAAGTAGGCTTAGATTGTTGTAACATTTGTATAGCGTAGCAAGAGGTGATACGTGCACCGTAACACATTATTCACTGTGAAAAGTAGACACGTTTCTAATCTAATAATTAGGAAACTTTCTTTGAATTTGACAAACGCAGCAAGAAAACACTTCCTAACCGGCATGTTGACTTATTAAACGTGTCATTTGGTTAAGCAAATATTCAAGTCGTAAAATCTTCGAGACCTTCACCTGGGGAAAAAATAGATCACGTGGTATGCGCACTTCAAATACCTAGCAAGTAGCAACAGTACAAAGTGTTTGCTCGGTAGATTCCATTTTATTTAACTTCATAACGCAAGTTGTATTTACAGTAAGGCTGGCTGTGACTCGCACTCGCAGTACACTCACTGTAGTTCCATGTAATGTCGGGGTTGTGTCACGTTGTTGTCATGTCTGTTAACGTTCCACTGTTTCTTGACAACGCCTTACGACGTCAGTGCAGCGAAACTTAAATTAACTCACCTGGCAGGCTGGGAAGAGGGCGAGACGGAAAAGAATAAACACATTTCCTCGCCTCAAAACCAAACAAAAACGTTCCCACGAGCTGTCACACCTTACAATGTGAACTCGCGACCTGTTTGTTTAAGAGGAATTGTTGCCTTTTTGAACCACATCTGGGACTTTTATGCTGACAGTGCGGTTTCATTATTAAAAGTTTTAGCTTATTGACACTTCCGGGTTAGGACTGCTTCCATTTGGAACCGGGAGTAAGAAGCAAGCATGGACATCGAGCTGCAGACCAAGACTAATGGGAACCATGGAGCAACATATTTGTCTAAAGAACAGGTAAGTTCAAAGGGTTTAAAAGTGTAGAGGCAATTCTAATTAGAAGAGGAATAATATTTTACTAGGCTAATAATAATTACAATATAATGCAAGCTTATGATGTTAATTATAGGCAGACTATACTATATCTATACCCTGTGTCTGCACTTTTATTTTACTTTTATTTTTTCAAGATAGTTAACTATTTGAACTAATCTTTCATTTTTTTTTAAGGTAACTAACTAATGAAACTTAGATTTAATGGCTGATCTATGTAAAATTGATAGATATATATAGATATATACTTTATTAATCCCAAATTGGGATAATATAACCATTATTATTGCACAAAGAATTTCATTTATTCCCCAATATTTGCCTGCTCCTAGGTGACAGCAGGTAACGGAGATGGTGCGGCCAACAGAATCACTGATGTAGGAGAGAACGACGGGTTGCTTTCTGCACAGGTGAGCTTGAATAAAAGTTTTATTCAAGTTTTCAGTATGTGTATGTATGTAATAAATATGTACTGTGTTCTGTGGCAACAACTTGTTTTACTCACTTATTTTCATCATTCCTGCAAGAGAAAAAAAAATCCACACACTGTCCTTAGATGAGTGACAGTTGCATGCTGTGTCTTTTTCTCAGACTTCTGGTTGTAATGGGGGGACAGTGGCCTCTGACCATGCAGTGGAAACTCAAATTAATCTGGAAAAAATCTACACTCCTCAAGAGGTATGGAGACTCTTAGTTAAGAAATGATAATGTTAATATGTTGTTTCTGGGGCATTTCTTCTTATACTTGGAATAAAGGAAGTGTAACGTTTCTGTTATAATGTGATAACAAATTATTTTCCCATGCATCCCCCGGACACAAACGAGGACAGTTCAGCTACATAAACTCTAGTTTTTCTATGCTTTTAGTGTTATCTCTTAAACCATGTTCCACATGAAATGCTAGTTTCAAGCTTGAACAAAAAGTGAAGCCCTATTGTGACAAAGTCATTTCATTATGCTTTTAGACAAGTGCCATGTGCAGGATAAAGGGAGAGCTGAATGAGGTTATCTTCTGGAGAGTCAAACTGTGGATGGCCATCATCTTCTTATTTTTCCTCATCTTTGCTGTGATTATCATTTCAATGATTCTGTGCTCAGGTAAGGTTTCATGATGGGTGTGTTGTTTATTGTGTTTATTATTATCTGATCTGTGCCAAGGCTTTGACAGATTCTCGTTTTCTTTCTTTGAACAGTGATTCATGAGGACAAGGATGAGATATTTGATCCCGCGACGTTTAAAGTTCCTCAGTGTTTCAATGGGAGCTTTCAGCTGCCCAATCTGGTCTTTACAGAGGAACTTTTCACCATGTCCTCCAACGAGAGCCAAACACTCGCCGGTGAACTTAAAGAAAAGGTTTTTACCATTTATGACCCGTATTTCAAATGATGTATTTAATAAAATCCTATCAGTTTGTGGTATTTATAATTCAGTATATTAAGTAACAAACAATATAACATATGACTAGAAACATTATATTGCATCAGTGTCTATCTTTATATGACAAATAGGGAACTGATGTGATGCCTACCATATAATGGCTTAATATATATAACCATAATATTATAACTAACTTAATAGTTATGATATTGTAGAGGCACTATTTACAGTGTTTTGCACATTTCATAACAAGCAACATAATTTCTTTCATTTAAAAACATACATTAACAAGTTATGGACAAAAGAATAACAATTATGACTAATAACATCAAATAAAACGATATTTTAAAAAGTTCTCTATTTAGGTTTATTTGCTTCCAATGTGAAAACTTTTACCTAGTCTCGGATACCTTAATTTTATTTTGAATTGTGTTTTAAAACCGCGGTTCACACTTTAAATTCTATATTTAGTTGTATTTAGTGAGAGAGCTGCATAGCCAACTTCATCCAGAACTCACAATTGATCTTTATTTGGTTGAAAAATCTGGCACTTTTCTCAACTGAAAGACAAAAACCTGTTCATAGCTGCTGTTGCTGAGAGCTGTTTTGTTGATCTCTTACAGCGAATACAAGAGCCCTAAGTGGCAGAGTAGAGCTCACAGTCTATTGAAAGTAGGTCTTTATCTGCCAAAACCATTTACCTCATTGTTTGCTTCTGCTTGTGTCAACCTGCCCCACCCAGCTGGCTGACCTCTACAGATCCTCCCCTGCTCTCGGACGATACTTCTCGAAAGCAGACATATATGCTTTCCGGTAAACACACATCACACTCGAATGCTTATGCACTAAAATGTACACCTCAGCTACATACGTAGAGTGGGCTTTTTGTCATTGTGCATTTTACTGAAAAGTGGTTTGAACTTCTGTTTTACTCTGCTCACAGGAACCAGTCGCTCATGGCTGACTACCAGCTGACATTTCTCATGCCTGCAGACCACCAGGATCAGCTGAGGAACGTAACTCTGAGCAGGGAGATGGTGTACAACGTGTTCAGACAGTTCCTATATGACCAGGAGCCAGATGAGTCAGGGCAGATGTACATAGATCCAGTTTCCCTAAAGATGTTTTTAAATCACTAGGAACACATGTTCTAATCCGTATAGGGAATTCTGTTCTTTTTTGTCATTTAAGTGAAACACTGAGCAAACACTTAACCCTCTACAGGGAGATGGTTGCTTGTAGCATATGATTCTCATACGTGCGTGTGATTTTCCCCCATGACTGTAGAAATGTTGCAAATGCTGCAGCTTGACCACATAAACCTACAGTACATGGCCACAGTCACACAATCCCCTGTAGGTCATACTGTGTGTGTGATCTCATGGTGTGTTACGGTGCTTTGAGACTGTTCCTTTTTTCGAAATCAATCAACAGTGCCTGGAAATCTACTGTCACTCTGATATTGATGTTTATATTTGTATTGTGCCTAGTTTAACTGCACGTTTTAATTGAAAGAATATTGGTAAAAATGTCAGTGCTGTAATTATTGATGTTCATTCCCTGTCTACCACTGTGAAATCATACGACCGTTTGTTCAAAACCTGTGGCTTTATACATGTTTTTTTTATATAAATACAAGTTTTTATATTTGCATAGCTTTATTTTCCATCACAGGACATGATTTGCAAATCAAAACTCCGCTTTAGAGAACTGTACAGATACACTATGCTGCTTGTGTGATCATTTTATAAGTAAAGCTGTTCATGGCCTAATAAAACTATATTTTCTATTCACAAAGAAGTGACCTGCTGTATTTGTTTATGTTCTTTATGGTTCAACAGTAGAGGGAGTGCATGTTAAACATGCAGGTGAGCTATTACTGGTTCCTTTGTTTATCTTGGCTTCCTGGATTTGTCTGTCTCCGTTAGGAGTGACATTCAAGGACATTTTCATATTTAATTTGTATTGGTAGCTGTTTTTTAAATGTAATTGGTGACATATCACATGTATATGAACTAGGGAGCTGTGTGATTTAAAAATATATATATTTCCTGGAAGTGTTCATGTCAACATGTCTGTACTCTAATAAGATTACAGCTGTGATTAATGTTTGTGCCAAGTTATCCGGTCACACACATGCCATTCTCCACTTCCACCAGATGGTTATTAATGAGACCTCACTTCAACCGGTAGCACTCGGTACAAGATGTAAGAAGTTGAAGCTTAACCTAATACACTATTTTCACTTTTTGCCTTTTTGTGGTAAAAGCTTTGATTATCTTTTGCAGGAAGGGTTTGATAATATCATGTAAAATGTATATTATTCTGAAATGGACCAATCTGCAATAATAAGTACTTTTACTTTTGGAACTTTAAGTATATTTCTATGCTAATACTTTGTACTTTTACTTCAGTAACATTTTGAATACAGGACTTGAACTTGTAACAGAGTATTCCTACTCTCTGGTCTACTTTTATTTAAGTACAAGATACTACCAACCTCTGCAAGTTGGCATGTCATTTTTTTGTATTCGTTTTGCTGTAGCAATAAATTGTCTCTGAATGATTGCACAAATACATTTTTGAGGTACCAATATGGGCTATTCTGAAAAGACACAGAATCATGTGAACACATTGTGTAAATACTGTTTTAAAAACAGACATAAATACTGAGCCTTTTTTCCACATGGGCTACTAAACATGAAGAGGAAACACTGTATATACATGCACCTGCAGTCCTCAAACATCCTTGCTGCATGACAGTCACATGCTGGTCAAACGATCGAGTTTATACAGCAGATCATCAGTGGGATCCAAGAGTTTCAACAATTCATTATTGTGCATAAAACCATATCACTCCACCTGCTCTTTGAAACCCTCAAATATTGCAAATGTTGAATAAACACGAATAAACCTTCACATTTGGGGAGTCTATTGATTTTGACTAGACAACTGTAAGCTTCTCTTTACTGTATTTAGTTTATCTCTGTTCTGTGTAAGTCAACACTTTTCTGAATCTGTTGGCAGCAGTGAGTGACCCTGTGCCATCGCACATGGCATCAGCATTAATCTTGGTTGTGTTTACTTAATAGATACTAGCTGCCCGTGCTGCGCGTGCTGTCTGTGCTGCCTGATGTCCCCCGCTGCTCCATCTTCTCAACCCTATTTTGAGCGTTGGTAATCGTCTAAAGCCAGATTTACTATAATAAGCTCGCTGATCTTCGATAGCCTGGTTGGTTTAAAAACCACTACTGTCTTTACTTTGGCTGTCCAGAGCCACACTTAGGTCAAGCACGGATCAGGGGTCACAACGGCTGGTTAAACGTGTATTTATCCATTAAGGATCGGCGGGACTTTTATATAGTCCAATTGACTCACACTTAGATGCCAGAGATGTAAAATAACTGCTTCTTTTTATCTTACGGCTTGAGTTTATGTAATCAGATTGATGATTATGTTCTGTTCTAGGAAATGATTGTAAAACCTTAATCCTCTTAAAGCATAACACCTGTTCTGGCATTGAAAGTAAAAACAAACATGTCTGCCTGCTCGCCTTACTGCATGTTGATCACACAGAAGACATTTGAGTTATTTTAAACCAAGCCGTTTGATCACAGGCTGGAATGAGTTGGAAATGGTTTTATTCTTTTGATATGTTTGGCAAGGAAAGTCAATTTATTCAAACAGATCATCTCTTTACAGCTAAACTCCATGTCATTTTTATCAAATGCATACAACAACAATTAAGTATTTTGATAAATAACACACACACACACACACACACACACACACACACACACACACACACACACACACACACACACACACACACACACACACACACACACACACACACACACACACACACACACACACACACACACACACACACACACACACACACACACACACTTCTGCAGACAAAATCATATTTCGGTCCTCCACATTTCTTTGTGAGGAATAAAATATATTCAGGGTAGTCTAGGCTACATCTGAACTAGCTTTTGCTAATATCTGTTACTTAACATACCAGGAAAACTACTTTAATCTCTTACCAATCAAACCCTTTTTGTATAGGTGTACAGAGTAGGGGATGATCCATTTTGTCTCTTAAATCTTTTCAGCAAATGTTGAGTTGATGCTATTTGTTCCTTAACTGGATTAATTGCTAAACTGTTTCATTTTTGAGCACTTGAGAATTGATAAAAGTACTTAAAAGTACTTTCAAAATGCCACACTAACACACCAAGACCTTGAAGAACACCATAGAAATGCAATCTTGCACTGATTAAGTATCAAAAACGTCCCTGCAAAGATTGTAGTTGTCTTTTTGCCATATATAATGTGAGCACTTCTGTTGTGGAAACTGCTCAGTAACCCTGTTTACTGTCAATATAACTAGTAAAGCCATACATCCTCTGAATGTCATGGGTCTGTAGTTTGTGCTTGTCAAGTTTTAATGAAGTTATGATTATTTTGGGACTAAAAAAAACTCAGTGAGATCAAGTTTCAACAAGTGGTGTCAATCAAATGAAAGGGCTACTTTAGGGACTATCAATATAACACATGGTTACAATTGGGCTCATTGAATCCATCAGAGTGAGACTTTCCATGGCCGTTTAGTATGCATAACTTTTTAAAGGCAAAAATAACACATTTATACTGCATGCCAAAACTGCATGGTTTTTGCTTCAAAGTAGATTTTTCAAAAAAGGGTAGCAAAAGGAGATATAATAAACATGAGCACAAAATAAAAATAAATGAATATTGAAAATGCATATAGGTCTTTTATTAATAATACTAAGTATGATAATTTATCATTGTATTATATTTTATCTAAAGTGTAAAGTCATTCATCCCAAGTTTCATCAGTATTTGTAACTCAACAAAGAGCCATAGCATATGTTTGCCATAGACGTGAACTGTTTATAAGAATAGACTGTTATTCAAATCGACTTCAGCATCCCTTATTGACCAACCCCAACAGTAACACCATTCATTACTTCAGCAACATCATTATTAAAATTTCAGAAGGAAATAATATCTAGAACTTTCAAAATATTATTTCTCCTTTAAATGTTGATGTACAACTTAAAATCCCCACCTCCCCCCAAAAAAGAAATGTATGTAATGTATGTGTTTGTAGCTCAGACATATTTCCTAGCATGTCTGTGTTTTAAATAGGATTAGTTGGTTCCAAGAAGAATTCCCTTTGTTAATTCCCTGAGGAATCCAAGAAATATGTGATAAACTGAAATAGTTGGCATACAGTTATGTGTGCACATTTAGATTTGTTTGTATGCGTCAAACATTTGAGTATGCAGGTGAAAATATAAAATGTATATATATATAAATAGTTATGTAAATACCTGACTAAAGAGCAAACTAGAAAAAAATATGATAAAATAAAGTTAGTATGGAAAAAAAAGAATACACTTTGACTGCAGCTCCATGGCAGAAGTCTTTATTAAAACCTGCAAACTCTAAGAGTCGAGAGTCCAAAGGGGCTTCCTTTGTCACGCATAAGAGTTACCGATCCGTGGAAACCAGTAACCAAGCCCACTTCAGTCATATAGCATGCAATGTCCTGCACTTCTTGGAAGACTCCTGCAGTTATCCAATTAAGGAGTTATGTCCTCTTCTGGCTGTGCTAGGATTTACAGATTAAGGTGTTTGTTGCATGTCATTTCAGCCGGACCTCAGTGCTGCAGAGCTCTGTAGGAACTCTGTTCTCTCTCGTCTCAGCCTCACCACTGGCTCTTTGCAGGATTCTGGACTAAATTACATCTCTGAAGGGAATAATGGGTGCCGCATACCCCACCTTGGATGATATCCTGGAGGAGGACATGCATCATTGGTACACCAAATTCATGAAGGAGTCCCCTTCAGGACTCATAACGCTGTTTGAGCTCAGAACTATACTTGACATGAACGGAATGACAGAGGAGGCCAGCAGCTATGTGGAACAGGTCTTCCTTACCTTTGACATGGATAGGGTAAGAAATCACCTGAGTTTTTATTCACTGCCCAGGTGACAGTGGATTTTGTGATTGACTCAAAGTCTGGTAACAATTTTCCAACTGACAAGACAGTTGCTTGCAAATTCCTAATGCATGTACCTTGTTGAATAAATCAAATCAGTTCTTTGGTAATGTAGACCCGAAACGTTCTGTTGGAAAAAAAGAGTTTTACTGCATTATTTCAAATTATTTTACGTGAATAGTGTAGGATTGTTATAAATGCTACCAGTTGAAGTCTCTAGATCAATTGAGTTTACACTCTAGTCTTTGATTCCTGACGTCTTTCACAACGCTTAAAACCAAAGAATGCATAGAATGATAAACTGATCAATTAAACCGTTTTATTTAGAAAACCTTAATTGAAAAAATACCTTTTGTTGTTGCTGATTAATCAAATTGATTCATAATCCTATTCATAATTGTAATTTGTATGTGTCCTTTTGCAGGATGGCTATATAGACTTTGTGGAATACATCGCAGCAATTAGTTTATTGCTGAAAGGAGAAATTAACCAGAAACTCAAGTGGTACTTCAAGCTCTTTGATCAGGACGGAAATGGGAAAATTGACAAGGAGGAATTAGAGACCATATTCAAGGTGTGTTTTCTTCTTTCTTGTTCCATACTTTTAGTTTTACAGATCTTAGAGACTGGGCATTTCAAAGTTTTCTGAATGGTTAAGTTTAGCCAGTAGACATCTAATCCAGGGGGCTTATTATCCAACTCCAAGTCAAAATATGGCCCTATTACATCATTTAGTCACTAAAGCAGTCATACTGTACATATTACATGATCACTTTTTACCTTGTCACCATTTTGTTACTGTAATAACTGTAGGTACTGACACTTAGGTCAAGTAAAATCATATATATATTTATATATACTGTGGATTTAGTCATAGTAGTCATTTTAGAGACCGTATTTGGTGTAGAGGAACCCAAATAAATGACTCCTATTTAGGGTTAGCATTCAGGAGCTTAATGAGGAAAGGCGCAGTGTTTAATTGAATTGATTAACCTTTGCCAGTGTCGATTGAACTAACCATTAATTGTAACTCCTTCAACAGGCTATTCAAGATATCACCAGAAGTTATGACGTCCCTCCAGAAGAGATTGTAACTCTTATATATGAGAAGATTGATGTCAACGGAGAAGGTCAGAACTATAGTCAATCCATGACTAATGTAATGATTTCATAGCCAAGAAAAAGACAATAGTGTTCTTTAGAAATAATGTCTCCATAACTCTAGTAGTCGTGAAATATCCTAATATATGATTTCTTATACCCATTTTTACACACTGGTTAAAATGTGTTCATGCCATTTCCATCTTATCTACGTGTCTCCTCAGGTGAGCTGACCCTGGAGGAGTTCATCAGTGGAGCCCACGAACATCCCGACATCATGGACATGCTTGGCAAGATGATGGATCTTACAAAAGTCTTGGAAATTATCCTGAACGGTCAACAGAAGAGAGCTATAAACTGAACGTGAAATCAACAAGCTGGATTTTGTGGAAAATTGTGATTGCGCTTTTCGAAAGGATTTTCAGAATGCAGCAGTGTTTAGGAAATAATGTACTCTATGTGCTTAATGGTTGAAGAGCAAAGTCCCATCTCAAACTGCACTGAACTGAATGAACTGAGTGAGCAGCCCCACACAGATATGATGTCACTGTATGTCGCCTGAGGGAAGCGGCGAACCTGTCCCCCCTTTCTTGAACGGTGGCCCTCCAGCTTTGTTACATTTTACAACATTTTAACAAGCTGCGTGTTTCGTGAGTCTCTCAGTGAAGGAGGACACATCTGCTTTCAGGTTCCTATCATGGCTCGAGTAGATGATGCAAAATGTGGTGAATGAGTCCCTTTGATTGACTCTTGGTTTAAAGAAGACAACTGCTAAAATCTTTGTTAATTTGGTTACAAACTTCATTAGAGAAAACACTCCCTATGTCAGACATAATTACGCATTTGGGTGTTAACACTATTCAAAACTATCCCCGAGACTGTTCAATCTAGTTGGTTTTGTGTTGTTGTTCATGTGCATAACTACACTGTTGCTTGTATATAAATTGGATGGTATCTGACTATCCATGTAGTTACTGCATGTACAAATATTTAACATGAAATGTTTTGCTTTATTATATTTGACAATTATTTAGGTTACACTGTTGCCTTAAAATCACAAAAAATGTTTGTTGAAATTTTTTTTTTCCCCTTAAAAAAACATTTACAAAAGAGCAGTTTTTAATATTGTATTAGTCTTCCGTTTTTCACCGAATAAGATACAGATGTACATGTAGGGCTGCCACAGTATCAGATTTATATTACATGTTAGGTTAAAAATCATTTATGATGACGATACATTTTGAAAAAAGATAATCATTCAAATGAATAATGATATCTTTCAAATTCCTCTTTAACTTTGGTTAATGTGCACTTGGGAAAGGGAGACAAAGTAAAGTTAGAAAGAAACAGAAAGGATATAGAAGCACTGGATTACACTTGATTTACATATTATAATGTGTATATTGTGTATTATATACATGATATTAATATTGTGTTTTAAAATTAGGTAATAAGTCTGTCTTCCAATCGGTGTCTTCTATGTTGCGATGTTTACTCAATGGTTGACATTGTAATATCTCAGAAACGGCTATCATTCTAAACAATAAATCTGTGTGTTTTTATGTGACAATAACTGGTCTTTTGTGTTTCTCGTGGTGCTTGGCTATTCTTCAGAACTACCTGCCAATGGACAAACCGTCTCAACCATTTCTCAATTTCTGTGAGTTTAGTAGGATCATATTTAAGATACATTTTATTTTTTAAGAATAATCATTCAAGTTTTCTTTGCCTATTCAAATGGACAAACAACAGCAGAACTAGAGTTAAGCAGTTCTCGAAGATGACCTGCAAATGTAAACAGAACTAACCTGAGTTTAAAACTGAGGCTCTTTCTGTTGTGGCAAAACAAATGACATGCCTCAGCTAAATGTAATTTAAATGATTGAATACAAAAATAAAATAATGTTGTCAGGCAAACACAGTGATCTACATTGTTAAAGTGTTGAGAGAGGTTCATTTAGGTACATAGTGGTCAGACATGACTGTGGGTTGTGTAAATCAAATAAAGATTAGAGTTTGACTCCACATAGCACACAACGTGCTCCTAAATGCCTCGGCTGATGCAATTATGTAACTGCATGGATCAACCCACCTGTGCTCTTCGTATAAATTCCCCAGTTGTGCTCTCATGTCTTTGCACTGCACACGGCGTTCTACTGTCGACCACCACAGCACAGAAACAGCCAACCACATCCAACTGGAACCATGCAGTCTGCCGAAGCCAAATTCAACAAAAACAGCCTCCTCTTGACTCTGAGACGGTACAGCTCAGCCGTCTGTGACATGGAGCAGACCATTCTCCTGCCCAGCCTGCTGCGAGACGTCCCCTCCGATGACCTCTGGGACTGTGAGGCAGCAGAGGAGTCCTGCACAGACCTGTATAGCAACTACCTGATGCTCAAGGCCATAAGAAACACAGCGGAGAGCAACCTGGTTCGCCTGGATGACCACAAGGCCAAGAACACAGCGCTCAACAAGACCCTGGAGACTCTGTTGGACACAGATCCAGAGGCTCTCTTTGGCTTCCACCTCAGAGGACTATTTTCTGTGATGAGTGACCTCACCAAGAAGACTCAGAGTCTCACTGACAAATATATGGACATCATTGGAGTGGCAAATTAGAAAAACATGTAAGACTTGTGGACATTAAGCTAAATATCTGGCGATTTTCAAATGTGCTGTACATGTAACAGCCAAGAAGTAACAGTCACATGATTGTCACAAACTGTTTACATTCAGTGACCCAATTCCTGGAACAACCGTGCTTTGTCAATGTTAACCAAATCTATCTATTCATTTGCTAACTGTAATAGCCCATTGGAAATGATGGTTGAAGATTTAAAGGTTGACTGATTAAAAGACCATGAAACAACAGAGCCGTGTTCTAGGATTGATTTATGTGCAAACACTCATTATGTCTATGCTTCTGAATAATGAAAACATTTTAAACTTGGGTATTTATTTTATTACATAACAATATTTGTACAATAGTTGACAGAAAGATTTCACAAAAAGACCACTGAAGACAGATGGTAGTCTAAAAGTGTTTTCTCCCTCCCTTCCTCTTCCATCTCATCAGACGCCAATTAGCGAATGGGATTGAAAGGCTCGACAATCTCTGCAAAGGTCTTTTTGTCTGGTGGGAAGACAAAAACAGAAAGAAACCATTTAAATTCACATAAACATGGGTCACAATGTTCTTATACTTAATGTGAAGACTTAAAAATCAAAAATCAATCAAAAGTGAACATCAAGCACGACAGAAAGAATGGCACAAATACACAGCATGGGGCTTCATATCCTCGCATTATCCTGTTTTATAATTGTGGTCTGTGACTAGCATATAATCGTCCTAAGTGATGGTAAAATATATGATAAAAGGAAGGAATAAAATATGCATTTGAATGCCAAAATATATTCAGAAAAGGGCACTGCAGGTGGATAAAATGGGACTAATCAGTGTAATTGTTAAATATTAATGAACATGCATAGAAAAAACATAAACATGAAGAGCACTGTCGGGGTCTTTTGGAAGAGCAAAAACACTGATATTTCACTTACCCTTTGCAACAAAATTATCTGGGTGCAGTTTGATATACTCTGTCATATCTCGATCAACTTTGGCAAAATGGTAATGTTCTCTTTTTGTCACATGGTAGCCGACGTACCAACCAATTGTTGTCATTAGGACAAGTCGGTGAACACCTTAAAACAAGAAAATGGACATGGATGAGTGTCATTTAAGCACACAACACAATGCATAAATGTAAAGGTTAGCATTGAAAGAATAAATACAAGCGTTCATTGTACCTTTCAAATTAAGAAGTGCTACCTTGTTCTTAAATTAAGTCAAATTCAAAGACATAAAGAAATAAGTCAAGCATAAGGATATCCCACCAGATTGAGTATATAGTTGGGATCTTAAGCGCTTTGAGCACCAGGAAAAGCGCTATATAAATGCCATGTATTATTATCATTATCTAAAAGAAAATGAGCACCAAAGAACAGACACTGGAAATGTTGTTGAGTGAGTTTATTGTTAATATTGACTTAAGTAAGGCTGATATGATGAATGTTTACAGTATGCCTGCTCTATGTCTGCCTAGCATAGGAGATGTGTAACCTTTTAAAACGTTCGGCTGCGACTGCTCTGCAATGACACAATGTTGACTCTTATAAGTGCACCATGTCAGGGCAGGGTTTTTTTATACATTATATTATTAATAATAATAATAATAAACTTGATTTATATGGCACCTTTCCAAACATAGTTACAAAGTGCTTTCACTTAAAAATACACAGAGAGCAAGCGGATTAAACAACAACATCTAAACATAAGAAAACATAGTAAAACACATAGAAAATAATAAATTAAAAAAATAGATAGAAGAAGAATAAATTAAAAAATAAATGATGATTAAATGTTGCATAATGCTTGAGAGGAAAGAGCAGCTCTGTAGAGAAGCTAAAGTCTGAAAGCCTGCTAACAAACATGCTAACCTGATTTCAGAGGTGGCTTGTGGTTGATGGCATTATGGAGCATCGAAGCAAATCCGGCTGAAAGCGCCAGCCACGCCGAGTTCCTGTTGAAGAGGGACGGGGGAGGGAGAGCCTTCGCCTCCTCCGGTAAGAACCACATGATGACAATTCCCCGCTTTTACTCAGAAATATGAGTGACCTACCGACTAGCTTTCTTTACCTCTCGTAGGAAGTCAAGGACGGGCTGTGCAACCGCATGAAACGTCCGGGTACAACACATGAGAACCGCTTCAGTTCCGACTATCTTGTTTCCTAGCAACCAATGCCAGAAGGTAAAACTTTACATTGAGCAAAAATGTGAATTAACTTCAACGATTTTACATTAATTAGATGTTATATGAAATAACATATTCACATACAATAAAGGGTTTATTTACATTAAACCTCTTATAACGTTACAGTATGTGGGCTCGCTGTAAGCAACTCTATTAAACTACTGTCGTTGGTTGCCTTGTATAAAACAGATAGCTTTTGAAATACTTCAAAAATAAATAAATAAATAATAAATATATTAGGACCATACGAGTTGAACTTTGTTAGCATGTATCGCCATATTAGCAACGGTAGGCTAACAATGTAGGCGTACCACTGCGAGTACACTACTATGTTCAGTAGCTAAGCAAGTAGGCTAGTTGTAACGTTAGTTAGTTCGTTAATACTCTAGTTAGTTAGTTAGTTAGTAAGTTAAAACGTATAAGAATAACACCGAGGTGCAGTAGCCCTACTTAAATTGATCATAGGTGTAGGCTACTTTTCAACTTTTTTGATTCACCAAAGTGAAATATTAAACAAATGTAGGCCTAGGGCCTAGGCTATGTAGCAACTAAATAAAGGAATAGTGCAGTATTAGAACACAATACAAATTGGGTTATACACATGGCAGGAGCTCATTCATTAATCACATTTGTCATGTTATAGGCCTAGCCTACGTTTCAATTGTTTTTATTTTTTATTTATTTTTTCTATTTTTCACCGTGAATAGATTTCTAATTAAGATATCCATGATACATAGTGAAGAGAAGGCCCGACCATTTGCATTAGGGTGATTTTATTCTCTAGATGCATTGAGTGATGTTGTTATCTTTGCATGTGAACTGATGACATCATCTGAGTGCAGTCCTCCTCCTCCTCCTCCTCCTCCTCCTCCTCCTCCTCCTATTCTATAGACAGGCTGATGCTGCTGAGCTGCTGAGGATACACAGCCAGAGTGAATATGCCCTGCCCAGCAGTGGCTTTGCCTGTTTGATGAGGTGACCTATGCATACCAAGTGTTTTTAAGTCCGGGGTTATCCCCTTGTTTTTGGTAAGTAAAAGCTATTTCTCGACTCGCAGAGTTGACTTATATCTCTCCTGCATCTACAGATTTTGCCAAAAAGGCTAGTTGCACGGTAGCTGCTAGTTGCTACCTTCGCTAGCTTCGCCCTAATGGCCATCGACTCAGGCTGAAAGCGAATCATTATTGGGAAGAAATGTAACGGTAACTCAGATTCTGTCTGTGCAAAATGTGCTATAATGTTGATTTGCATTACAAAACAAGTTTTAAAAAAAAGGGCGGAAGGGGAAATGCGACACAGGCAACAAATTGTATGCAAATTATTTCAGTAATTGTAACTATAGAATATGGACCATTGTATTCAGGGTGTCATTCAGGGTTTTGCATCGTCTGGCAAGCAACAGTTTGATTTATTCTGTTATCTTTTACAATGAGATATTTCGTTTTCACGCACGCATAGGCCCCACTCAATGCTGCTGTCGGAGCAAATGTAACGGTATCTATTGCAGAGAATACTAAAGTTGTATTTTACTATCCATTACATGCATCTCACTGTGTAATGTGTGGACACTGACTGAAGCAACAGACCCATCAGCTACCGATATGCGTTTAATATTGCAGATTAATCTTTCCGACAGTGTCTCCAGCCTCCGTGGCTCCGTTATAGCCCAAAAAGGGTGCACGACTTCCCCCTAACAACTGCTAAGCAAAACTATTAGGAAATGAGGGGACCAAAAATGTCCTCTTTGTGGTCAGTGGCCTTAATGATAGACTATACAAAACAAGTTAAGAATGTGTATTTTATGACATATGAAACCAGAATCAAGGAGGGGCAACTAGAACATGAATTATCTTATTAGAATACTGATACTTGTTGAACGTAATCAGTAGTTTTGAGTATTTAAAATAAAAATTTATCATCCATTTTCCAGTGCTGTTAGTGTATTACCGTACTGTATGTTACAGAGCTAGATCAGAATTAAAATGTACATTCTGAAACTCTGAACAAGGGCATATTTAACTAAAAAGTGAAGGTTATTCAGCTCAAATGTCAGCTGTTGTCCTCCTGAGGATGCAACGGTTAGTTAATTGTTTCGTCAGCATTTTAACTGTCTAACTTCAGGACTTTTCAGAATTGTGCCAGTAGCATCAGCATCCATTATAAGGTGATCCACTTGGACACATGCAATGCAGTGATTTCATGTTCAATGTTACTTATACCCCATATTTTCCTTTTATTTTTTTAAGGTTTATCATGAGCATGGAAGATTATGACTACCTGTTCAAAATAGTTCTGATTGGAAATGCTGGAGTTGGGAAGACATGTCTTGTCCGGCGCTTTACTCAGGTTTGTATGATTCTGAGTTTATGAGTTTGAAGTAATTCATTTACAGAGTATCATACTCTCTATTTCTGTTTTCATTTTAGGGCCTTTTCCCACCTGGACAAGGGGCTACTATTGGAGTGGATTTCATGATTAAAACAGTGGAAATCAAAGGGGAGAAGGTCAAGGTACCCAGACTTTGAAACATTGTTTTATACAAAATCAGATTCCTTTGTGTTTTGTAAACAATTGGATGGAAAGTTGCTGATTTCTTATACTTTGTTTTCCAGCTGCAGATATGGGACACAGCTGGGCAGGAGAGATTCCGCTCCATCACTCAGAGTTATTACCGTAGTGCCAACGCCCTCATTCTCACGTACGACATTACCTGTGAGGACTCCTTCAGGTGCCTTCCAGAGTGGCTGAGGGAGATCGAGCAGTATGCCAACACCACCGTGGTGACTATATTAGTCGGTAAGAAGCTTTACTTTTCACTTGAATCATTTACATTACATTACATTGCATAATAAGGGTCCTTTATTTAATCAGTGTTTTTCATTAGAACACTGTAAAAAATAGTGTGTGCTTGATTTGACTGATTTTCACTTACATTTAAACTTGATTGAACATACATTTTGTTGTGTGGTTTTCACTTCATAATAATTGTATTTTAATACAAATATTAGACACTGTCTTTGCCTAAATGCATCATCACACACAAGCATTCAAATACCTCCA